ACAAAGAAGGTTTTTCAGTTGACAAATGTATATATTAAGCAGCCAGATGGTGGGGCTAGGGAAGTTTTTTGGTCAATAAATGTTTATATTCAGCATCCAGATCAGATGATGAACAGAAAGAGTTTGTCAGTTAATAATTGTCATTTTAATTGTCATAATTATCAGTGAAAAATTGTCAATAATTGTAATAATTGTCAATTTATTATCTGCTTTTATTGTGTGAAAATGTGCTTTGCAGTTTGCAATAGGAGAAATCCCAGCCTAAATCTAACCACTTACACATTATAGAATAAAGTTAACTGTTAAATAATAACTATTCGCCTCTCTTTTCAGAATTTTTATCATTTGTATTAGAAACACTCTTTTCAGAATTTTTATCATTTGTATTAGAATTTTTGGATTGGACTTCAACTCTTACATGCACTTACCTTACAAATTATCGCTTATTGACTTAATTATCACTTATCAACGTTAGAATACTTGATTCGTTGAAGAATCTATAAGGTTTGCCTGGAAGTTACTTCTAAACAGAAAGCTCAAAAACAAAGAGTGTGATTAAATATGCTCAGATACCATATTTCTCCTTATCAAAAGCTTATTGCTTTACCACCCATCAAACGGAGCTTACCCTTCAAAAAAGCTTGTGGCAGTGACATTCAACAGTCAACAATTGTTTTCTACGGAAACAACAGCGCTGCAGCGCGCGCGAGCTAAAATTGCGCAATAATTTTCCGCGCTGAACAGCACATTTCAAAGATGCGCGGCGAACAATAAATTTTTCAAGTCTGCGCGTCAGGATGAGCATTTCACCCGAAATTGCGCAACCTAGATCTAGACATATTTTCCAGTCTGGTATGTACTTCGATGTACTCAAAGTTTGAGAATGAGTTTTTCAGCGTCCATATCCTACAAGAAAGCTCACAATTTTAGCCATTGACTTTTGCCATCCTATACCACTTTGAGGACTGACTTTTCCTATATATTTTTAGGAAAAGCAACCAATTGGCTTTAGCTGTGGGCCCATATTCATATATATGCATGTTTTACTCTATTAGTGTCCATTAAAATCAATTGTGATTACAGATTATAGCTCATGAATATATGAATATAAGTCCTCCCCCCTAATTATCAGTTTTCTGCCGTCCTTGATAACTCTTGATGGCTGTTGTGCTTCAATTCAATCATGAACAACAGCTCATCCTGAGCGTGATGCACATAACTTATGCTGCAAATTTTATTCTCTTGTTCTTCAGGCCAAAGCGTGTCGTCGATTCACTCTTTCCCACAAGTAGATGCCGTGAAGTTTTCAATGAAGCTCAGGGTATTTGTTTTGGGGTCAATTACTTATTGTTAACATGCTATAATATCTTACTTGGCATTTGATAGGGTTGCCGAGTAATTTTGACTTTCTTGATTAATTATCGACATGGATACCAAGGTTTTAGAATTTGGTATCTATTCCGATAATCTAGGATCCCTAAAATTTTAACTTTCTTGATTAATTATCCACATGGATACCAAGGTTTTAGAATTTGGTATCTATTCTGATAATCTAGTATCCCTAATATGGATACATAAATTGTTGGCTTTTCTTATCCCAGAGTCAGATACAACATAACCTGTAGTTTAATCTCATCAGTTCCTCATTGATGTGCAGTTACTTTCAGAATCTTGAGCGGAATTTCCACTCTGCAATTTATTATTGAACTCCTAAATGTTTTTTATTTAGCGAGTGTCATGAAAACTCTGAAATGTTTTTAGTTAGCGAGTGTCATGAAAATGGGTAGAATTAGCAAAGTAATATAAATGAGTTGTATTTTTTTTGTAATTTCTCTGAGTGAACAAAGGGTACATTGACAGTAGGTATTTATTCACTAGCCCTGAGTACAGGCTTAAATATCTTTAAATTAGATGCAGTTACTGATGAGAAATCTCTTTTGGCTAAAGCTGATGCTGAAAAAGAGGAACTGGCATTGCTTGACAGCATTCTGGCCAAAGCTCAGCATGCTAGAGATGTACAGAATAAGGTTTGAATAAAGTCCATTTTTTGGTTGGTAAATGATAGTGATTTATGAAAGCGTTTGATTTATAACACAAGGTACGTCGTACGCATTTGGTGAAAATATTTATTGAGTTGATGCAATGTCGCATTAAATGAATTGGTTACTTGAAGAACATGTTTTGGGAAAACGAGAGAATATTATTTATTATCGAAAGTTGGTTTATTAGTTTAAAAGCGATTTAAAAATCGTATCATTACCGACCGATGTTGCGTTTTACCGACCAGCTCTCTTAAACTTGGGATGTAGTACCCCCCTGTCTGTATGTGACCATAAATCACTAGACTGAAGTAAAAGGTTTGAACCCGGGAGTATCATTACCTTTTTGTAAATGTAGATCGTCCAGGTTGGTATAGTCCTGAGAAGGACTGTTTTTCTTGTTGTTGACTGACGTTACGACAACCTTAGCGGTAGTCATCTTCAGAGTCAAAATGTCTACTACTAAGGTTAGATGACTACCGCTAAGGTTGTCGAAACGTCAGTCAACAACAACAAAAACAGTCCTTCTCAGGACTATACCAACCTGGACGATCTACATTTACAAACATAGAACATTATTTACTATTGAAAGTTAGTTTATTAGTCCATGTATGTGACCATATTTCACTAGACTGAAAAGTTCTTCAATATATTAAAACTTTAGGCTAGTAAGATACCACCTGGGACGAAACTAGAACGTTAATTGGGGTGTGCATTCATATATTCAATTGTGTTCTAAATTTACTTTAACTGAATATATGAATATACAAACCCCTCCTCCCCCACCAATTGGCGTTCTAGTTTTGCCTCTGGCTACCGCCACCTCTCTCAATACCTCTGCTATTTTTTCGCGCACGGATGTCACTAATGAACCTATGAGTCTTTATGGTCATTGTAGGGGTTACTTAAGGGAAAGGAGAGAGAGCAAGAGGCAGTTAAACAATTAAAAATGACCAGCCTGCTTTGCGCTCACTGTTTGCGTGTCAAACAGCCCTTTCACACCCCCAAATCAGACGCGTAAAGCGTCAACACAGTCAACACACCTTTTTTTAAGTTTAATTTTACATTGGCTTAATGACTTGTATGTACAATTGAATTTTACTCTAATCTTAAAATAACCTTACTTCAAAAAATGTCTCCTAGAAACTACATTTTGTGTTTTCCCAAATACCTGAACAGGTGATATCTTGTTTGTGTATGTTGAACCCTCTACATTAATCACATTTTTTCGATCACAGTTCTTTTGGTTAAGTGATAGTTCCAGGAGACATGAGTTATAATGAAATTCTTGAAGTTCTATCTCTTTCAATCACGAAAACGTGTCGCTGTCTCCCATTGTGTAAATTCCTCAATCATTATTAGTTTTGCTTCAACGTGATTCGTTTTCCCTCAGTTGCATGTACCTTGGTGTATAACATTGCATATAATGTACCTCACCAGTGCACCTGTGTACCACCACCTGTTCCCCCATTTGCATGTACCTTGGTATATAACATTTCCTATAATGTACCTCCCCATTTCACCTGTGTACCACCACCTGTCCCCTGGGTTGCCAGGTCTTCATGTCTATTCATCCTTAACGTGTTTTCATAGATTGATGTATCTAGAAATAAGAAATCTGCTGCTGTCAAGTCAACTAAAAACTCACAGAATAAACCTTCCTCTTATGTCAAAGAAACAAAACCCAAACCCAAAGTGTCCTATCCCATCCCAAAACGACCTTCATTGGGTAAATCTACTTACACCATATCCTATACACAATCAATGACCAAAAGACAAATAACTGGAGCAGGTGCAGTACTTAAAGATAGATTAGAGAAGTCATTATCATCAAATTTTGTTGTAACAACTAACAACTTTTATTGTAACAACTTTTGCTAAAAGTTGTAGTAAATTTTGTTGTAACAACTTTTGTTGTAAGAACTTTTGTTGTAACAACTTTTGTTGTAAGAACTTTTGTTGTGACAAGTTTTGTTGTAAGAACTTTTGTTGTAACAACTTTTGTTGTAAGAACTTTTGTTGTAACAACTTTTGTTGTAAGAACTTTTGTTGTAACAACTTTTGTTGTAAGAACTTTTGTTGTAACAACTTTTGTTGTAACAACTTTTGTTGTAACAACTAACAACTTTTGCTTTAAGTTGTAGCAACTTTTGTTGTAACAACTGTTGTTGTTACAACTAACAACTTTTATTGTAACACCTTTTGCTATAAGTTGTAGTAAATTTTGTTGTAACAACTTTTGTTGTAATAAACGTGTTATCACTAAATTTTGTATTCTCAGCTGCAAAAAAAGCATCATCGTCTGTTCAAAAGGCGCATTCAATGGCAACTAGAAAAGAGAAGACTCAAATGGGACCGGATCTAAAGAAAGCGTCTCTTCCAGAATCACGAAATGAAAACACTAAAACATCAGAAGCCCCAACTGTTACCTCAAATGAAAAACAATACGAGACGACGTTTTTACTCGCAGAAAAAGGAGCATTTCTTGTAATGCCAGAGAATTTTCAAAACATTCGTCAAGAACATAGGAAATTGTTGCGTCAAATACAGAAAGCGAAAACAGTTTCCCAAACAGAAAGCGAAAACCAATTCGTCATGAATATGGAGAATTTTTTCCCTCTCGATTTGCGGGGATTCCCAACGTTTGTGAATTACACAATGATGTTAGAAGACTTGAAAACGAGTACAGACAACTTTGTAGTTTTATGAAATTGGAGTTAATGAAGAAACGTTTAGAAAAACTATCAAAAGAAGCGGAAGAGGTTATAGAAGATGAAATAAAATGCAGGTTTGACAAGCTGAACAACGAAACCAAGCTATTTGAAAAAAGTAAGTGTGAAAGGTTTGTAAAATTGGAAATTAATGAGTTTGGAACCATCGAGCAAGACAACAAGGAATTTTCTTTACTATGTTTGCTGTTTTTTGCAAGTAGTCAAGCAATGGGAATTCTTGATTTAGATATGAAAAAGTTGATTAAGTTTTGTCCATTCGCCGACCATCAACATCATGAGTCGTTCCTGGAAGTAAACGATAGAGGAGGACGGTTTTCTGTCAGCTCAGTTGATTGGAAGACTGAAACAGACGGATATTTTACTTATCATGACGTTAAGGTTTGTGACTATGGGATTATTCTCATCAATTTGAAAGAACATGAAGCGCATTAATTTCTTGTGGATTAGCTTCACTTTTACATTAAAAAAGTAAGATTGAATGCATGGATTTCTTATGTACCATCCTCACAATGACATAAGTGTAAGAAGATAAAGTACATTGATTTCTTATCTACCATCTTCACTATGACATGAACACTTACAATACATGAAATTTTTCCCGTTCTAGGAACTAAGAATGTTGCTAAAACTATCCTATGATTTACGCTACTGTGAATATCAACTTCAATTCCAAAAAATCCTTGGCAACACTCTTTTACCTTTGCTTGGAGATCTTCCAACCAATCACGAGTAAGTTCAGTTTACATCGATCCATTTTAGATTGGAGAATCAAGCCTCTCTAACCTGTTTTTGTAGGCTATTTTTTCCTCTTTCTCGCTGTCTTTACTCAATTTTGTGCTGCGAGGGTAAGACCTTCCCGGCCTTTGTCAAAGATTGCTCACCCAACGATGAATAATAATCAAAATTGATGTGACGTTGCGCAAAGATTGCTCCAGTTCTTAAGTTCGTTACAAGATCAGTGACCAGGTGACGTTGCAAGTGTCTTCGTGGCTTCAGGAAAATGGCGGATGAATCTTCCATCGAACAACCAGCTCAACAAATCGAAGATAAAGATATTGCAGAAACACCAATGCAGGAAAAACCCGGTCAGGACGAAGTTGAAACTGCAGTGGAGGTGTTTATTTAGTTTTTGTCATTGGTACTTTGTTTTATGTATCGAGTTTATTTGATCATTTTCTACTTTGGTATGTCATCGAGGAGCCGACCTACCACAATTATGTTATATCTACTAATGAATGTCATTCTTATCACATTTTTATGTTTAAAAGCTACATTCGAATTCAATATTTAGCTCGGTCAGGCATTTCTTGCTTAATATTAAACTTTACAAAATTACTAAAACTTTGTACATACGAAGCGGAACTGACCGTACTGTTACTGTAAACCCTCATACTTTAAAGTGCCAACACATTTTAGTTAGCAATGTAAACGATAAAAATTTTGCAGTAAGAAACATCCATTCAATGTATTAATTATCGTCCACTCATCTTGTAAAGTGCTAGTCAGTATTATTTCTGTACAACGAGTTTTTGATTTGATTACGAGAGCATTGGCGTTAACGATTGTCAAAGACTAAACAGAAACTGTTTTTGTAAAACAGTTTGTCAAAGCAAAAGAAAAAGTTTAAGCGAAAGATTTGTTGTTATAACTAAAGCTATGCATGTTTTTGCTCCATTTGTCAAGTAAACTTCACTATGACTGGGGGAGATTTGAAATGCAACACTGAAGCTTTTATTGCTGGTTAAGTTGATTAAGGAAAAGTTTCCCTAATTATGTTTCAAATGAGTTCTTGTTTGTAATCAGTTGCAGGTGTTTTGGTAAAGACAACACAATTCTTTTTTTCATGCTGTGCAAATGTTTTTGTTTTCATTCAGTGGAAATACAATGAATGAAGCTCATTTTCCTAAGATGTGAATATTTTTTTTTGTTAAAAATTTTGCGAAGAGATTTTACTGTGCATGTATGGAAAGCAAACTTTTGAACCATTGCACCTCCTTTGAAATTTGTTACATGAAGTATTTGACATTTTAACAAACAAATGTTATTGTGTGTCACTGTTGTTTACAAACCATAATGATTGCAATACTTAAACTGACAAATGACAATACAAGGGATTAATCATCTTCAAAAATATATAAGTATTGCAAAAATTTTGATGTTAATAATTAATGCAAAAATTAAAATTATATTAACTGAACTCTGAATGAAACTGGATGTTGTGCAAAGTCACTTTTTATGTTCAAAATGCATCCAACTTTAGCTAACTTTAAACTTGTCTATTTCTTATAAGGAATCAAAAAATGTGATTGAAAGTTTGATTTCAACATTGCTTGATGTGAAAAGGTAAAAATTTATTAGTTGAAAGAATTTATGAGGTCTATACATCAGAAGGATAGATGCAGTAGTAGCTGACTCGTATTTATGCATGTTATAATTTGTATAAAACAATGGATTTAGAAGAAACTTATAGTGTATCATGCTTATATAATTTATCAATATGTACCGCGCCCCCAAGTATGGATAGTACCACAGCCCTTGTCAAGAAATTTTTAATAGCAGTTTATAATTTACATTTTTTTATGATGAGTATTAAAACATGGGTAGATCTTTCTTGCTTCACAGAAAAGATTTTTATTTATACATATCCTTTATTGATGTTATTATAACAGCCAACATTACACATGCTACATATAATCAAATTTTTGTGATGGGTGGTAGAAGCTTTTGAGGATGACTCTCCCCCCTGCCTCCACTTCCCCCCAGCCCCAAGCTATGTTTATTTAAGTTAGTATTAACATTGTACAGTCAACCATATTGATTAGTATAACACAAAATGTGGGAACACTGCTATACTGTATCTAAATGAACAAATGAAGAATTGCAAGGGCATGGCTATGTCTATGAATTTATGAAAAAATTTTGGACATTACCTCACTATTACACCTTCATCAGCATAGCCACGCTGCAAATTTGGTCATGCTATATAAATTTTTTTGTGTTCACTCTCTGCGTAAGCAGTAGATTTTTAGAAAGATAAATATTAATAATATGATGTTTACAAAGCAAAACCAAAACTTATGAGCTGTCTATGTTACTGTACACCTTTGTGGTAGAGTTTGAAAAACTGACAATGGAGAATTGCACAAATATATATGATGATATTCTTTGTGGTTTTTAACAGCCAAAGAGATGATAATGCACCTGTTTCTCTGAAAGATTGGTAAGTTTGTTGAAATATGGTTTAGTGTCAACATGTGATTGGCTCACAAATATTTCGCGTCATTGTTTTCAGTGAGACTGGACTTGATGATATCCTTCAGGAGGTCTGCTCCAAGATCGATGAAAAAGGCTTGCAGTATGTATTGATTCAAACTGAGAATGGTCAAGACCTTAGTTTAGTTTCAATTTTTGTGCAACCCGAAAAACTCGCATGGTCACTCCAACACTTTGAATTTAGGGAAAAGTATTACTGTAGTCCAGCACGCAGTGTTCACGTGTCTATCATGGCGAGAACATTCACATCGTATCTATCTCTTCTGGAGCAAACAAGACTTAACAAACTCTATGGAAACATTGTGGAAGAAGTGACGACGACGATGTCAAAATTCTTCAAGTAAGATTTTTACATTAAGTGGATGTGTGTCAGCGGTAATACGCGTGAACGCTATGAGGTTAAAAGTTTTCGTCCGTCTACTGCGCACGTCACAGAAATGAATGGACAATTTTGAGCAGCATGGCAATGACAAAAACAATGTTGTTTGTTTCGGGAAGATGTATTTTCTATGACAGGACATTTTTGTAATTTTAATTTACAATAAAAAAACAAAACTTTCCAACAATTGGGAACAGTTTTAAAGATATCATACTAGTGGTATTACTTAATATTAAAATGTCAGGCGATACGATGTGATGTGCACGCATAATAAGGATATCATGGGATATATTGTGCCACTTGCAAACAGGGGAGTAGGGAGAAGTGGTCAAAACCTGCCTTACGACTATTCATCCATATTCAACCCGCAAAATATTGATATATATTTAATACTGATATTATTGTACAACAATACTACCCTTCCCCATCCCTCATAGTTTTTCCAACGCCTTTCCGCTGGTCCTTATGACAGCAGTCACAATTTGCGTTCTGACTTTTTTTCCTTTTTTGTTGTACAGTTTTGAGAACAGTCTTGCATATTTTCACCATCACTGTTGGAGTGGAATTATCAAAGGTATTTATTATGTGAGCTATGAGACATTGATGTTTCTTGATGCATGTTAACCATATAACAATCTACAATCGTGTTCATGACATATGCAACCTGGCTTTCCTTTGACTATTTTAATTGTTTTAACTTTGGTGTTGCGACATATCACGTCTTTTGTTCTTATCGACACAGTTTTAATGAAATTTGGTTATTGTGTAAACGATAAGGTTTTGTCACGAATTGACTATGGGTATTTTAGGGAAGGTGGGACTTTTGTGTAAAATCATTCCTGCCATCAAAATAACAGCTGGTGAACGGACAATGTCTTCTCGAAAATGCTTGATGACTGACTAACTTTTTACCTTATAACAATAGTCATTTCCACTAACCCATTATTTATGTCTCCAACCTCTGTTGTAAGGCGATACATAGTCACGTATGGAGTGCTTAGAACGTCAAATTACGAGAATCTGTAGTCTAGAAAATTTTTTTACGTTATTTTGTGCCATGTAATGTTAGTGAATGTTGAACAACCGACTCTGCTGAAGTTGACCGTTCATCTTGAGCAAACACATTTTAGTCGTTATTTTGAGCCTTGCATTCTATGAACTTTAATCTAAAAAGAAGTTGACCGTTCATCATGAGCAAACACATTTCAGTCGCTATTTTAAGCCTTGCATTCTATGAACTTTAATCTAAAATGAAGTTGACCGTTCATCATGAGCAAACACATTTTAGCCGTTATTTTGAGCCTTGCATTCTATGAACTTTAATCTAAAAAGAAGTTGACCGTTCATCTTGACCAAACACAATTCAGCCGTTATTTTGAGCCTTGCATTCTATGAACTTAAATCTAAAAAGAAGTTGACCGTTCATCTTGAGCAAACACATTTCAGTCGTTATTTTGAGCCTTGCATTCTATGAACTTTAATCTAAAAAGAAGTTGACCGTTCATCTTGACCAAACACAATTCAGCCGTTATTTTGAGCCTTGCATTCTATGAACTTAAATCTAAAAAGAAGTTGACCGTTCATCTTGAGCAAACACATTTTAGCCGTTATTTTGAGCCTTGCATTCTATGAACTTTAATCTAAAAAGAAGTTGACCGTTCATCTTGACCAAACACAATTCAGCCGTTATTTTGAGCCTTGCATTCTATGAACTTAAATCTAAAAGAAGTTGACTGTTCATCTTGAGCAAACACATTTCAGTCGTTATTTTGAGCCTTGCATTCTATGAACTTTAATCTAAAAAGAAGTTGACCGTTCATCTTGACCAAACACAATTCAGCCGTTATTTTGAGCCTTGCATTCTATGAACTTTAATCTAAAAAGAAGTTGACCGTTCATCATGAGCAAACACATTTCAGTCGTTATTTTGAGCCTTGCATTCTATGAACTTTAATCTAAAATGAAGTTGACCGTTCATCTTGAGCAAACACATTTCAGTCGTTATTTTGAGCCTTGCATTCTATGAACTTTAATCTAAAAGAAGTTGACCGTTCATCTTGAGCAAACACATTTTAGCCGTTATTTTGAGCCTTGCATTCTATGAACTTTAATCTAAAATGAAGTTGACCGTTCATCTTGAGCAAACACATTTTAGCCGTTATTTTGAGCCTTGCATTCTATGAACTTTAATCTAAAAGAAGTTGACCGTTCATCTTGACCAAACACAATTCAGCCGTTATTTTGAGCCTTGCATTCTATGAACTTTAATCTAAAAAGAAGTTGACCGTTCATCTTGAGCAAACACATTTCAGTCGTTATTTTGAGCCTTGCATTCTATGAACTTTAATCTAAAAAGAAGTTGACCGTTCATCTTGAGCAAACACATTTTAGCCGTTATTTTGAGCCTTGCATTCTATGAACTTTAATCTAAAATGAAGTTGACCGTTCATCTTGAGCAAACACATTTCAGTCGTTATTTTGAGCCTTGCATTCTATGAACTTTAATCTAAAATGAAGTTGACCGTTCATCTTGAGCAAACACATTTTAGCCGTTATTTTGAGCCTTGCATTCTATGAACTTTAATCTAAAATGAAGTTGACCGTTCATCTTGAGCAAACACATTTCAGTCGTTATTTTGAGCCTTGCATTCTATGAACTTTAATCTAAAATGAAGTTGACCGTTCATCTTGAGCAAACACATTTTAGTCGTTATTTTGAGCCTTGCATTCTATGAACTTTAATCTAAAATGAAGTTGACCGTTCATCATGAGCAAACACATTTCAGTCGTTATTTTGAGCCTTGCATTCTATGAACTTTAATCTAAAATGAAGTTGACCGTTCATCTTGAGCAAACACATTTCAGTCGTTATTTTGAGCCTTGCATTCTATGAACTTTAATCTAAAAAGAAGTTGACCGTTCAACTTGAGCAAACACATTTTAGCCGTTATTTTGAGCCTTGCATTCTATGAACTTTAATTGCTTTTATTCAACCTTTTTTACGTGGAACTTTTCGTAGGTGGCTAAGCTACATATATAGTCATGCTATGTAAATTTAACTGTTCTCTACTCTTTCCAATGATAGATTTCACAAGACTTAAATAATAGTAATGCTTTTAAATTTACACAGTACGTCTTAAACTGGCGGGCTGCGTCCACCACAGCTTTGTGTCCAGCCATGATAAATGAATTTCTGCTTTTGTTTATAGTATGTCGGTTGGCATTACGTTTGAAGTATCCGAAATATGCAACAGATGGATTTACTGCTTTATACACAAGGTAAAACAACGTCTATAAAAATGACAGTGTTATTACTAGCGAGTAATATTTAAGAAATAAAAGATGTATACTGTGTTTGCACCGCCTTATGCAAACCGAGGAGACCTTTGGGAGAATTGGAGAGCAGATCAGTGCAAGCTTGAGACCGAAGGTGACTGCTTGATTGTTTTGATTGATTTGATTGGTTGAGCTCAGATGTGTTTTGCACAGGCAAATGTAAACACGGCTCTAGATCAATCACTGCACGGGTTTTATTGTTTTTATTTTATAATAGTACATTTTAGTACATGAGATTGACTGGTACATATTAGTACATGAGACTATGTACATTACAACATATTAGTACACATCAGTACATATTAGTGACATTAGCACATATTAATATACATTAGAACTTATTATAATATGAGCATAATGAAACACGTGCAAAACACATCTGAGCTCAACCAATCAAATCAATCATAACAATCAATCAGTCAAAGAGAATTTGCAAATCGATCATGATTACATTCAGAGGAAAAATTGAAACGTTTACTTTAAATTTGTCTGTTTCGCATTATTGTTATTTTATAAAAGAAATTAAAGATGTTTTTCCTGTTTGCACAGCCTTATGCAAACTTCGGAGACGTTTGTAAAAGCTCTCGAGCAGATGCAATCATTGAGTTCTATAATAACTGGAGCGGCTATCTCAAGCGCGATTTTAGATATAGGATGACGCCAAAAAATGGAGGAATTGACCTATTTCCGCTGAGATTTACCGAAATTGACTGCTTTGCAGAAAATTGCAATTTTTCACTCCCCCCTTGAGAAAGAGGGAGGAAAAAGTATTTTCGTGTTTGGCATTTGCAAGCAATTTATGATGAAAATCAAGGTAAAAAACTAAAATTCATAACAGCGAGTCAACTGTGGTAGCTAGTTGTCAGCTACTACGAGGGAAGCTTTTGATAATTACCGAAGAAGGAGCTTTTTGTTGGCTGCAAAACAATGCAGATGCGCGACGCAGCGATGTCAACATTCAAACTTGTTTGCACGAATTAAACTTTATGGTTTATACAAAGAAATAGGTCAATCGGCATCCATGTTTTTGGCGTCCCCGCCCCACTACAGTTAGCCGCTCCAGTTATTATAGAACTCAATAGATGCATCCCTCGACCTTCGGTCTCGGGCTTGCACTGATCTGCTCTCGAGTTCTCCCAAAGGTTACCTCGGTTTGCATAAGCCTGTGCAAACACAGTAAACATCTTTTCTTTCTTAATTAGTACATATTAGTACATATTAGTATATATTAGTACATATAAGTTCATATGAAGACACGTCGTTACACTGTTGTAAACTATGAGCACCAGAAAACAATAGCACACATATGTACTCAATGATACGCACCTGTACACATGTGTGTACATATCAGCACTCTATAAAGTTCCTAAGATTACCACTGACATTTCATTTTAGACCTCCAGTTATCTATATAAGCGCAGCGTCTCATCCATCTTTTGGAGCTTATCTTAGAATGGAGGTATGTTTTTGCCATGTAGTGAAAACATTATAGAGGGTGGGATAGAAGTGTATAATTATGGATCTCAGAATGGAGGTATGTTTTTGCCATGTAGTGAAAACATTATAGAGGGTGGGATAGAAGTGTATAATTATGGATCTCAGAATGGAGGTATGTTTTGCCATGTAGTGAAAACATTATAGAGGGTGGGATAGAAGTGTATAATTATGGATATCAGAATGGAGGTATGTTTTTGCCATGTAGTGAAAACATTATAGAGGGTGGGATAGAAGTGTATAATTTTGGATCTGAAAATGGAGGTATGTTTTTGCCATGTAGTGAAAACATTATAGAGGGTTGGTTAGGTTATGGATACAATTTTCTTTTCTCAAAATAGTCAGCATTTGTTGTCGTTCAACATTTTTAAAAATGGCCAACGAAGACGTTGAACAGCATATATATTTAAGGTCCATCTGAAATATAAACCGGACATATATAAATGACGTTTATGTTACTTCTTGTTTGGTCGTGTTTACACAATACTTGCTCTGTTGTCGGATTAAGTTACAAGATATCGAGTAATTTATCGTTACTCTGCAAACTTCTAGGTGAAAAAAATTCGGTAGTTTGTAATATCATACTTAGGTCTAGTATGTTCACACTTGAGTAATAAAAAACGTTCCTGCCTGAATATTTAACAAGCGCAAAGTTGATATCGCTAATCGTGTGACCGAAAGCATTCTGGATATTTGTATCATCCTTTGTAGTCATTATAGCGTAAATGTCGCCTTAATTTTCTTTTAGTTGGGTCTGCCACAGTCAAGTATATGTGAAGGTAGGTTGAATTGTATTTGAAAATGTTCTCTTTGTTTATCCTGCTGCCTCCGCTGTATTATGAGAAAAAACGTTATCATTGTTAGAAAATTGCAGGTCACTTTTCAGGGGGCTGTTTTCTCCCGGAGGAAGTCATCCCTTCCTTACCTCGAAATTAACATGAAATTGAGACACTATGATTTTCGGGGTCATCCCTTGCTTACCTCTAAATTAGCATGAAATTGAGACGTGCTGTGAAACTAACGTAAATTTTGTAGATTCGGGATTTGTGTAGATTCTTTAATTTGTATGTATAGGATGAATTGAATCATGAATTAGTTTTCTCAGTGCATTTAAGGTTTTTCTGTGTCTTTTTATATTACATAGTACCATGCAACACTATGTTTGGTTCGACGCATACCATGGTAAGTTTTAACTAAATTGATCACCATATTTATGAATATGCTAAGTCCTGATGCATGTGTTCTTCACTCATTGCGTATTGATGAATACACAAATTTTTATTGTTATTTTATTTGTCATAATTTTTAATATCTCTGCATTATTTGCTTGTCCTACAGGATATTGCAGCGTTTGAACGACTTTTGAGTGATGATATTTCATGTGGAAAAACTCCTCTATTAGTTGTTTGTCATGCAGGTACAAAACCATTTCGCAAACCATCTATTTTAGTTTTCCTCTTCATGTTTGCCGTTGCTATCCATTCATACTGAATCTTCTTTTCCATTTCCCAACATACAGTCTTTATGTTTCTTCTCTCTTCATGTTTCTGTCAATATTCAGTCATACTGAATCTTCTCTTCAATTTCCCAACATACAGTCTTTATGTTTCTTCTCTCTTCATGTTTCTGTCAATATTCAGTCATACAGATTCCTCCCTTCCATTTCCCAAAATACAGTCAGTGTATTTTTTTTCTCTTCTTGTTTCTGTCACTATCTATTCTGAATCTTAGCTTTATTTTCTTAGGTACGCCTTTGGTGTGTCATACTGACAACTTACAGCGACTCAGGGAATTGTCAACTCAAAATGGCCTTTGGATGCATGTCATTGGGTAAGTAAAGATTTGTTTTAGTTCATTCAATGAACGTTCCAATTGTTGCTTGTCAAAAATTGTATCACTGCTGAGATTCATGATTTTTATCTCGTACAATGCATCATTGAATAAAATTTTCTGCATACTTGATTTTGGAGAACTATCGTCTTCAATTGTTTTTGTTGGATCAACAAGTATTAAATTATTTCTATGTAGAGATACTTTGGCCACTCTTTCATTGACGTCTGTACCTTCATCAATGACGGTATGAGATCAACATTTTGTTTATAATCCCCTTTTTCCCATACGTTGTCATCATATCCTCAAACTATAGAGATATATACGATAAATTTTAGCCTGCGATCAGCAGTGACAGCGTCACGCTTTTGTTGCATCGATGGTTTTCCATGCCAGCGGTATATTGCTGTGTATCCATTCAAATATGTTAAATATACCATACATCCGTTACATCCTTGATTACTTTGGAGATGAGCTATCTTGTATGTCAGTGAGTATATGGCTCAAAGGGTAAAAGAAAATAGAATTTATTATATAGTATTATATAGAACGCTTCGTCAACCGGAATTTTGTGTTTTTGCATGCGTAGTCAGCCATGGCAGTTTTTGGCAAACTGAGATCTTCTCTAAATTTCTTGTGTTATGAAACTGCAAGACACGTGCGAAACACTAATTTCAGCTGAACGTTGACTCTCTTGACCAGAGACGTATCTAAATGCGGGCATATTTGTACAGTCAATCCTATTTCGTCTGAGAAATTAGGCCAAAAAACTAACCATCCAAGACTAATGAAGGTATTTCACATTTTAATCAGATGCATTCCTTGACTATTGCATAAATAACAGACATTATTCAGAAGTAAAGATCCCAACCACGCTGCCCAAGCCGGATTATCATGTAGCGAACAAGATGTAGAATCTTTGATTCTCCCTCTGTACATATCCATCAAGCAAATAGGTGAGACAACAAGTCAATATGTGAAATCCATTACCATAGAATGTGAAAATCCACAGAATGAAATCTCATCCCGAAATCCGGAATCCAAAGAAGTGAAATCCAATACCATAGAATGTGAAAATCCACAGAATGAAATCTCATCCCGAAATCCGGAATCCAAAGAAGTGAAATCCAATACCATAGAATGTAAAAATCCACAGAATGAAATCTCATCCCGAAATCCGGAATCCAAAAAAGGGAAATCCAACACCATAGAATGTAAAAATCCGCAGAATGAAATCTCATCCCGAAATCCAAAGAACAAAATTTTGAATCCCAGAAGCAGAATTTGAAATGCACGCTGTGAAATCTGGGATAAGTATGATAGGAGCCATATATGTAAACCTTTTTTATTCGAAATTTAGGTCTTGAAGAGCTGCGAAATACTGTCGTAAAAGCTGGAGAACTGGTATGTTATCTTTGGCTTTAATATTGCATTGCTGAGGCTAGTGTTTTCGTGGATTGATAAACACACTCGATTTGATGGAAAATTGTATTTGAGTAAAAGTATTCGCTTTGTCTCAATAATGAATGGTGGCGAGCTTGTTTATTCGTATCGTCATTAACCTACGCGTGGGTTATTTGAAAATATGGACCTTTTATACGTATTTTGCCATGTGCGTGTTTTTAATAACTCACTATCCCTGTAGGCCCAACATATGTGTCATCTTTTGGATTTACTTCCGAGTATCAAGCGGATAGTAAGTGTACTCTATTGCTTTTTAAATGTCTTTATTATCCTTGGAAATCCCCCTATTTGAGTAATGGTTATCAAGTTCTGGTTATTTTTGTTAATTTTAGGAACAGAGTCGTAATATTTCACCTGTCGTAGTATTTCGCTATTGTGGTAATGCTTCAGAACATGCGAGCTCAGAGGGCAGCAGTAGTGATGAAGGTCAGTTTACCACATTTTCACTGTGTATGTAACTGGATGGCTACCTAAGGAAGCCATCAAATATGTTTATGATACATCTGCAACGGATGGCGCATGTTTTTCAATACCTCTACCCACACGAGGACTTTACGTGCAGAAAATTTTCACTACCAAGGAGTGAGGTTATAGAACTGACCCTAACCCAAACCCTGATCCTAACCTCTAATCGCACGAGGACTTTTGCCGAATCCAATTTACGCGCGAAAAATTTTGACTACGAAGGAGTGAGGTTTTTTCTAACATAGCCAGTGATTATTTATAATATGTAAGTCTCTAAGGGTAAATGTTTCAGTCGTCGAAAGTCATATATTCTTCCAGGTGACGATGAATCATCCGGCGAGAAAAACACGTTCAAACAATCTAAATCTGACAAAGAGAAGGATTCAAATGCTCTGATCGACTCTTTAAATAAAATGGTGAGTTTATGTTGGCTTTTAAATCAGCGAAAAATCAGATTAACCTGATACTACATGCTGGCGGCTAAGATTGGTAATTTTGTATTTTTTATTAGAATACACTTCGATCATTTGCTTTTGTAAAAAAGTAACTTCAATCGATTTAGAATATGTTTAAAGTGCCCCTGTCAGCATAAATTTTTACTTGCGATATTAAATCTACGTGTGATGTTTAACACATAAGTGAAAAAAGTTTTTTCATTTGATCCAATCGTCCCGTTTTTAAAGTGGTTTAAATTTTGCAAAAATGCCTTTTTTATGTACCTTGCCTGTCGTGTGAAAAGTCTGGTACGACTTACATTTGTGACGTCATGCATGGTACATGTCAATACCAAGTATATATGCCATCTGCCTTGGATGACATCAAAATTAGGCTAGACCCAGACTCCATGCTACGACGGACAAAGTCCATTAAAAGGCAACTATAAACCACTTTAAAAATAGAACGATTGGACCAAATTGAAAAAAAATGTGAGTTTTTCACTGATGTGTTAAAAATCACACCTAGATTTAATATCGAAAATGAGCACTTTTGCTGACAGGGTTCGCATTGTTTTGACCTACAATCGTTTTAGAATATATTTAAATAATGAATGAGGTCGACAATTAGCATTGTTTTGACGTTAAATGTTGGCAACATTAACCAGTGGTGGATTTTACCTTCCAATCCTGATAATATACATTCATTTTAACGATTTCATACAAAAATCGTTTTTATCTTTAAAGTTGGTGTCGTCTCTTTCAAAAGAAGCTGTTCATGTAAATATTGATCTTATTCATGTTCCAAATAATGGTTGGTGTCTTCGTTTTAATCCATTGCTTTCTGCTGCAAGTAAGGATTCATTTTACTTAAATTGTTGTATTGCTTGTGTACAGACACAAGAGGAAATATTTCTTCAAAATTTTTCATTACAGCATCAGCGACAACTAACGATTCCGTGGATTATTTTATAAAATGTCTTGAGACAAAAGTTGTAAGTAGTGTCTCTTTTTGTTCTTATGAATCAAGACACTAAAGCACAGGGAAATGTCATAGTATGTTTGTACAGAGTTCATTTCATGATGGAATGACATTGTAAATAGCACTACGTTGAAATTATGAAATTAATGGCTCGAAGAATTCTAGTACTCGGGTTTTCTTATTAGATTTTTATGAAAACACTTAAGTGAAGTTCCATAAAAACCTAAGTTTCAACGTCAGATCTCTCTTGATGAAGACACTAGACTGGAGTATATAAGGACTCAAGTTTCAGTATCAAATCACTCCTGATGAAGACACTACACTGGAGTATATAACAACTCAAGTTTCAATATCAGATCACTCCTGATGAAGACATTAGACTGGAGTATATAACGACTCAAGTTTCAACAAAGTAAATGAAGTAAATGGTTTGAACCCGGAGTATCGTTACCTGTTTGTAAATGTAACGTCAGTCAACAACATTCGACAACGTCAGTCAACAACAACAAAAACAGTCCTTCTCAGGACTATACCAACCTGGACGATCTACATTTACAAACATGTAACGATACTCCCGGTTTCAAACCATTTACTTTATTACGATCATTTGAAAGACAGAGCGAACAACTTGCTAACGACTACATACGTTTTGCAAGCAACGTCAGACGCATACGCCAACAACTCTGGTTCAACCACCGCTGCAAGGACGTAAAAACCAGATAACAAATACGGCTAACCTGAAGTTTACTCCTCATTTGACTCTGAAGATGACTACCGCTAAGGCTGTCGAATTGTCAGTCAACAACAACAAAAACAGTCCTTCTCAGGACTATACCAACCTGGACGATCAAGCACCAACATGGAGATGGATATCCATTAACCGAGTTCTTAATGAATCTTGTTCACTTTTTTAGAGTGCATTTGATGCTACGTTATCAGACAGGATTGGTTTATTGACTGCTCTGTCAGATAAACCACACGTTGTGAGGGTTGATCTTCCAGACTTTCCTGGTGTTGGTGCTGTACAGTAAGTTGTCATTCATTATTTGTTCTTATTAAATCTATTTTTGAAAAATTGTACGTACACTGATAAATAGTTTAGTACGTACATAGATGAATTGTTTAGTACGTACATAGATGAATTGTTTAGGGCGTACATAGGTGAATAGCTGTCTGTACATGTCAGATAAATAGTTATATACATAAAAGGACAAATAGTTAGGTACACACTAGGATAAATAAGTACGTACAAGCGCAGGATGTCGTCAAGATATTTATAAGCACAATTCCAAACCTATTTTTACATGATGATCCTTTTAATACTTGAGAAATAGTTATTCGGGTTTGTGAATCTTTCTCATTTTTGTATTTTTCAGGTTTATTCCACATTTCTGGACGACTAAACTACTAAAGAATCTTTCCGCTGCCAAACAAGAAGAAATTGATGAACTTAACTCGGACGTGTTAGCGAAACTCTCCGATAAAGATCTATTCTCGAAGGGGGAAACCCCCGACGGTCGTGTTTGTATAAAGATTGGATTGGTAAGTTGTAGTAATTAGATATTATTTTTTTCTGTTTTTCTTTGCTACAATAAGTGGACTTCACTTCAAACTAGTCAATCACCATCTGTTAATATACTCAAACGTTCTACCAGTTAAAGATTGAACATATAGTGAACCTCAAACTAATCACCATTAGTTTATATACTCAATCATCTAAAAATAAGTCTAATCTAGTGTAGTCACGTGTGTCTTTTTGTGCCTTGTCACCTTTTCACCTTCCTCTCAGGGGCGAGGGCAGGTAATTGTTTTTGTTGTTGCCAGTCTTCAGTCACGTCATACATCTGAATTTTATGTCAGGTAAATAGAACTGTAAGCGTGCAGGAGATCGTTGAGTTACTTGAAAAAACCGTAAAAGAAGTTCAAGAATCTACAAAGGTATTTGAATAGCGATATTTTTAACTACGACAACATTGCGGAGGGGGGAGGGGGTTTGTTACTGATGCAGACGCGAAAAAATATATTTTAAACATTCCCGCCATTTTTATCACGAAATTGAAGTCGTACCAAATTGTAGTCGCGCCAAATTATAGTCGCGCCAAATTATAGTCCTACCAAATTGTAGTCGCGCCAAGTTAGTTGTCGCACCAAATTGTAGTCGCGCCAAATTGTAGTCGCGCCAAATTATAGTCGCGCCAAATTATAGTCGCGCCAAATTATAGTCGTACCAAATTGTAGTCGCGCCAAGTTAGTTGTCGCACCAAATTGTAGTCGTGCCAAATTGTAGTAGCACCAAATTGTTGTCGCGCCAAATTAGTAGTCGCGTCAAATTGTAGTCGCGCCAAATTGCAGTCGCGCCAAATTGTAGTCGCGCCAAATTGTTGTCGCGCCAAATTGCAGTCGCGCCATATTGTAGTCGCGCCAAATTGTTGTCGCGCCAAAATGTAGTTGCGCTAAATTGTAGTCGCACTAATATAAGTGAGAATAAGTTGCATTAGCGTGTCAAAAAACCGATCGTTATTTGTTTTATAGTTTATTGAAAAGATGTCAGAAGCTGTAAGAAAAGGTATCGAAGCAGCTCAGCAAGATTTGGTTCAAGATTCAAACGACATTCTTATGGAAGAGGTGAAGAGATAAGTTTAAACAATTTTGTTCAGAAACTTCTGAGGTTCTAGTCCCTTCAACGCTGCGCATTAGTTTGACGTTTTCAAGTACTTATACTATTGGAAATTCGATCATTTCATAAAATATCACATTATGCCATTTATGTAAGTTACGTTTGCCCTAAAGCTCTGTGCCGAGGTTTTTGCCCATTTTTTGGTAAAATTGTTGAACTCTTCCTTTAAACGAATAATCGACCAGTATCCATGAAGTGAACCGCTGACCAACAAGTGAACTGCTCACCGCTGAAAATTAAAATAAAATGCTAAAACATGTTTACACTTTGCTTGATTTTGTTAAAAAGTTTTCCCATTTTAAAACTTAAAACAGTTATTTTAAAGCACTAAAGCTTAAGTCGTCAACAACGAGAAATTATCATTTCAAGGGTCGGCTATTCTACTCTGTACTATGGCTGGTATCTTAAGGCTTCTGTGAAAGGTAGAGGTATATTTATTTCATACAAATTTATACCAATACTGTCGTCATTTTAACTCATAGGGTCTACTACGTCAAGTACCGCTCGTTTCCTCTGTTTATAACTGGTTTTCACCTTTACAACATGAAAGAAAGATTAAAGGGAGAACGTTCGATCTTTCATCTGGTAAAATCTAAAAATCTATCATTGTTACTTTTGCCATCTTTTGACTTATTTGCTTTTGAAATGTTTGGTGAAATTTTACTGATTTCATATGATAAATTACTCTGTTTTTAAGGTTCACTTCAAACCACGGAAAAAACTTATAAATATCATTTGCAAGTACAAGACGCTGAAGAAGCGACTGAATGACACGTGATTTAATAACACGTTACTGAATGACACGTGACTTCACGTTATTTCATCTTTCATGAGGCGTTGGTTGCAATAAACCGCATCTTTGATATATTTATGAGCTAGCAAATCAAACCATTTGTTTGTTTTGTCATTTTTTTCTTGCGAATGGCTCGCACTCTGAAATAATCGTTAGCTACATTTATATTAATACCATATATTGTTAACCACTCGCTCAAGTGAAAAAATAGAGAGATTGGCGTTAGGCTTTTGAAATTAAATTCATTCAGAATAGAACAACGTATTATTATCATACGCGGTTATATTTGTTTCACAACTATTTATCTTTATTCTCAATCCCAGACTTCCATACTTTGCTCACAATATGATATGGTAGGCATGGGAACGAAGACGCTTTTTTTGTTTTATCAATACTTACGCGAAAACTGTTTGTTTTAGTTTCATTTACGCGTTCGAATTGATGGCGTTATAGTGCTTGCATGATTTTATTCACGAGTCTGTGTCATTTGCCATTATTGATCAATCGTTCCTTACTGTTTGACATTTAACTTCCTAATGACATCGATGATCTTTCACTATTACAAGTATAGTAGAATTGCGCTTCATGTTTTTCTTGTTTTTGTTACACAAATGAGCACTTGAATAAGCACCACACCCCACCCCCCTAATTAACGTTCTAGTTACGCCACAGTTAGTGCAGTGAGTGTAGAGTTAAATGTACTGTTAATCTTTTCATGACTACATGTTCAAAATATAGCGGAAAATCTAACAGCTTTTCATCGGTGAAATCAAGAGTAAGGAAAACCCATTCGGTAAAAAAAATAATATTTTATGAAGAAAACAAAATTAAAATCCTAATATTATCCAAAAGAAAAAACAACATCTTCACAAGTATCTTTATATGTTTACGTTTGAAATATTTTATTAAATATTTGAATACTTTACCAAGTGAATGGTTAGGTGCAAAAAGAAGCAACCTAGGTTAGCCCAAGCTTTGGGTTGGTTGGAGTCTTGGGTTCGGTTGCACGAAGCCTGGATAGCGTTATCCATTGGATAGCAAATATTTTCAACTTTGTAAAAAATGTGTTTGTATTTGTCTTAGGAAAAAACATTTCGCAATCTTCGATATTTTATTTCATTAATTGCTCAGTTCGAATCTCATATTTTTTGCTTTTTAAAAAGTTCTTTAAAAGTTTTAAAAAATTGTTAACCAATGGATAACGCTATCCTGGCTTCGTGCAATCTCCCACAGGCCCATAATTGATCATAAATCTTTTGAACGGTAAGTATCGTTTTATTGCTTATCTACTTTTGTATTCTATACTAACAATTCGAACCTATAAGTCTGTAACAGGTCTGTTTTGCCTCTTATTCGGGAAAGATTATAACGAAGATTGGACTACATCAGGATAGGGCTAATATATTGTTAGCGTCTTGGTGAAAGAACTAGCACAAAATAGAACTCCTATCTTTCTAGATAGAAAACATTCTGAATGAAGAGCATAATTGTTGTAGAAATTCTGCCGTGCAGTAGGGATTGGCTTTCCTGACTAAGCTACCCCGCAATAGATTATATATTATAGCGCAATAGATTATATATTATAGCGCAATAGATTCAGAGCCTTCATCACCATAATCCATCTTAGTACAAAACAATGACCTCATGTTTGGGAAGCATCCTTTGGTAATATACGTTTTCTTAAAGAGATCTTTAAGTTGAAACTGTCATTACCACGTTTCACACACGTTTGGTATGTGGGCGAGGTGCTCAGGGTGTTTTCAATCCACCGATTACCCTCACGTTCTTAGTCTTGAAGTTCTCACTAAAAAACTAACGACTTTACTCGCCTTAACAACAGCTCAAAGGTGCCAAACGCTAGCAAATTAGACATTTCATTCTTGCAAGACAACCCAGATAGAATGGTTTTCCACATTCTTGACAAGCTAAAAACAACTACACCAGGTAAACATATGACGGCTATGAAAATTCTGTCATACCAGTAAGATGAGAAATTGTATTCGGTTGCAAACATTTGAGAGTACATTATCAAAACCGAAGATATACGCCAGCATCATCAGTTGCTTGTTACATTAGTCATTACAGACTACATTACGCCATCACCAATGCATGTCGTTGGTCGAAACTACTCTAGTTAATTTAGGAATTGATACTTAGAACATTTCCACCCTCATCTACCTCTTCAGGTTTATGGTCAGGTATATTTCTAACAGATGTACAAAGTGCGGAAGGAGTGTTCTGATGCCACTACGTTTGCTCGACATTTATTCGATGCTTGAAGAAGAATTAAAAGCAAAATTATTAAGTAAATTTTAGCCAAATTTTGATGGATAGTGTTAAGAATTTCTTATTTTTATGAAATATTTTTTTGTGCAAAAATTAATTCAGCACTTACCAAAATTTACATGCGTTTTGTCTGAGTTTGATATGATCAATATTTTGTAGTAATGGCAATGTTTTTATACAGTAAGCAGTAGTATAATCAGACACAACATTTTTGAGGCGTTAGGGACATGGTTTTAAACGCCAAAGGTGTTTGCTTACATGGTTTTAAACGACGGGGTTGAGAGCCATGCTCCATTTGCGAAATTTCCAAATATAGATTTACTCATGTAATGGTGATTTTTTGTGTTTTTGTATGGTGATTTTGCATAATTCTGAACGTTATTTGCTACAAGAAAAACATGATTATTTTAATTATTACTTAAACATAGTTTTAATAAGGGCGACTTTCAAAGTAAATAATCGCAAGAAACCAGCACTAGTTTTTGTCTGGTTTTTCAAACTGTCTCATATATTTGGTAAAAAGATTGCACCACAAAGGACCACTGATGAGGTAATCTTTACGGAAGTATGCCCTTACGTCATGCGATTGCAAGTAAGGTGAAGTCATGATTATTGAAGTTTAGTGCTTCCATTTCCCCTCACGAAGTATGAAATCATATTTGAAATATTGTACTATGGGATTTTTCTTCTCGATATTTTTATCCACACAACTATGTGTTTTTCTTCACAAATGGCTGCTTATTTCAATTCTCAATAAATGTTATTACAAGTTTGAACATCTCAGATTTTGCTTTCTTGATTTTGTCGAAGGAGTGATCGATATAACAGTTTATTTTCATTTAGGAAATTGACATTACAAATGGAAGTTCGACAGTTAAAAATATTTCAAGACAGTTTCAAAAGACGTGAGAAAACAAGATATAGACTATATTTAAAAGGTTTACCAGACACTGGGGCTTGTAAACGGCTGCTATAGCTTATTGCAGACGTTATTTTATACTTCTAAATTTTGTCAGCTTATGAAATTAATGGCTTGCGCTAATCCAAATGATTCTTCGCTAAATGAGGAGTCAATTTGTGTGTTATGTTGTGACGAGTATGAATTCAGTGGTTGTGGACCCTGTGATCATCCTATTTGTTTAAAATGTTGTGTGAAACTGCGTATTTTGAGAAAGGAATACGATTGCCCCGTATGTCGAACGCATCTTAAACAGGTATGTAATAGTGGATACTTATATCGTCTGAGTGGTGAAAGATAAAGAAAGTCAATTGGCTATAGCCAACAACCATATATAAATAATGCGAATACCCAGATTGGGAAAGTCCCGCATTACTAGCATTCCTGTATAATATCTTTAGCATAGCAGTAACTATGTATGAGTTGTCACATTCAAGAATGTTCTTGCATTGAGCCATCATTTTGTAAAATGAAAAGGTTAACAAATGTTGAACTTGGAGATTGTTTTGAGACACAACTAAAATCATGCTTGGATTACACTTGTGATCTTAAAATGATAACACTTTTCAGAAATGCGTGGAAAACAATGAATTTGGATTATTTTTATTCAATAATCAGTGCTTTTCTGCTGCCTTAGCAACTAAGGGCAGCTTACATTCATGAGCTCGGTAGCCGGGATTCAGCGAAGCATTAAATCATTTTGGCAAATGGAAATGATTAAGTAATTCACAACAAAAAACTTATTTGAGCAATTTCTTTATGCTCTGACTTTGCAATTTGACAAAATGTTTAAAATGAAAATAAATAATATAGCCTGATGTGAAAATTACAACTAAAGTGACATATGACGCTTTAAAGAAAAGGTTGTAAGCTTTTCCCTTAAAGTTTTCACTCCTTTCAAATACTTAAAGTCTTTTCACGCCATGCTGAATCCCAGTTACTAGGCTCATGTGAACAGCCTCTAACTAGACAGACTCGAAAGTAGCCATTACTCGCCTGAGATAAGTTTACAGACTTTCCAATATGACTTACTACACTCATTAAGACATAACATTCCCAATATCAACATGACAAATCAATGAAATTTACCATTATCCGTACTATTACTATTTTTAATTTATGATGCACTGGGACATTTTGTCAAACAACTTATGGGTTCTCCACAATCTTTAAATATTGTGAATGGATTAAACATTTTACTTGTAAGATACTTTAAAACAACTTCATTTGCCTGTTCTTGGTCATTGTCTTGTTCAAAACATGCACAATCAAACATGTTATATAAACTTTCATTTTTAAAGATTTTATGCAGACAAAGTTACCATGATACAGGGTCTGAAATTTTCAGCATCCAAATATGCATGGGATAGTGAAAATTTGTTTTGGATAGCAAATTTATTCACTTGTATCTAATACCACGTACCACATACATTTTTCTAAAAAGTGACAGCAATTGGTATTTTTACAGGTCTCTTATTTTGATTCAATAAATAGTGCTGTAATACATGTCTAGTAAATATCCATAGTTACAGTACCGACCTCGAGTAACATGACATGACTCGCGTATCGAATGGCGAGTGGGCGAGTGACTCGCGAGTCAATTGCGAGTCACTCGAGAATGACCAGTTGCGATTGAGAGAGTTACTCGCGATGCAGTTGCGAGTCACTCTCGAGTGTGAGAAGTTTGCGAGTGAATAAAGTGACTCGCTGTTTGCGAGTGAATAAAATAACTCGCAAAAATTTTCTTTCTCCAGTATTTGAAATTGACAAACATAATCTTAAGTGTAGTGACAAGTAAAATTCGTTCAATATTTTATTATAAAATTCGTTCAACGGTTTTATATCTTTTTATGAAACATGAGAGCAAAACGACTATTCATTTGAAGCAATATCTCGGAACCTAATGACGTTAAAATCTTTTGAATTTTTTTACTCGCCCACTCGCCATTTGATACTCGCGAGTCATGTCATGTTACTCGAGGTCGGTACTGTAAGTGATAGGGAGTTAAACTGTAATAATCAAACAACATTTCAGAGATGAACTGACAAGAGTGAGCCACAGGTTATGTTGTATCTGACCTTCGGATAAGAAATACCAACTTGTTATGTATCCATATTTGCGATAGTAGATTATCGAGACGAACTGTAACAATGTGGTACTGCTTCCTTGTAAAAAGAGATGGCGAACAGTAAACTTGTCAAAATTTGAAATAAAATAAAGAATACATTTAAATTGATAAAGCAGAGCTCATTACAATTTATCTGAGACACAGGCGACGATACTCACACGACTGCATTCAAATGACCTCCAGAATGTATCTAACCAGAATGCCTCCTGAATGAGTTTGTCAGCCTCCTTTGTACTAAATAACAATCTTTAGATCATGCTTCTTATCATGCAAATCCACAGTAACAATCGTTAAAGCATGCTAAATATCATATAAATCTACAACAACAATCTTTAAACCATGCTTCTTATCATGTATGTAAACCTACAACAACATACAAAAACAACAAGTTTGACATCATGTTTTTACGCAGTTTGCAAATATAAACTTCCCAAACGTAATTATAGGTAAATGGTTCCTCTTTCACTATACGCTGTATATGCTCATAGTCATGCACATAACAGTATCCATTTGGATGTTTTTACATGATGGGGAGGGGGAGGGTACATTTTTATCCAACCATTGTTGGGTAGGAAGATTATCTTACTTAAACATGCTGACGTTGTCAAGTGTTTTCATATGAGAATACTTTACTAGTAGGGTATAATCATATTAATTAGTAAACGATTAAAATTGTATCAAAAAATTGTATTTTGTTTTATGAAGCAATGTGCATATTAGAGTGCTTGTCATGTTCTAAGAGACAACCCAACACCCTCCCATGGCTAAACCAGGCTTGGTCACTCTAGTAAAATCTATCATCTAGGAGGGACCTATGGTCCAAAACTATTTCAATCTAACGTATTGACTAGTCATGTAACCACAAAATAAGAAAAAAGAATTAAAATCGTTATTAAAGTTTTGTGTTAAAAAATTACCAAAAAAAATAAATTCTTATTTAAAATGGGCTGTATATAATACCTATGAATTAATTAGGCAAAAAAATCTATATTTTCGTTTTGAGTGCAAAAACATATTTTTGCACAGCTGCAAGAATTATTGAAACTTTCAACAATCCTTATTAAAACATAGGTGATCATATCAAAAGGCTACAAGTTATGGGCAGACAAGGTGAAAAAAACTGGCAAACAAAATTACGTGCGTATTCATGGTATTGTACATGAATCACGTGAGAGTCAAGCGGAAGTTGACAAACTTTTGGAACATCGTTGTCCAGTATGTGGTCAGCTATTTCAAAGATTTCATCAACTAAAAGAGCATCTTAGGAAAGAACATTCTTTATGGTATTGTGATATATGCGTACGACATCTGAAGATTTTTACCCATGAGCGGAAATGTTATACTCGGGAAGATTTGGTACGTCACCGCAAGGAGGGCGATGCCGATGACCGATCTCATCGCGGGCACCCAGCATGCCGTTTCTGTGACGAACTCTTCCTCGACAACGACGAACTTCTGTTGCATCTTCGGAAGAATCATTTTTGGTGCCATATTTGTGAGAAGGACGGAAGCCAGGATTATTACCGGGACTATAAAGATTTACGAGAACATTTCAAGCATGCGCATTATCTCTGTGAGGAAGGCGATTGTGCTCGTGAGAAATTCACGAACGTGTTTCGAATGAAAGTTGATTATCAGGCTCATATAGCACAAAAACACTCCGACAGGTTGTCAAAGGCAGAGGCTCGAAAGATGCGACAGTTGGATGTTAACATAACGTTTTCATCTAGGTTGAATAATGATGGTTTAGTTTCTGGTCAGGCTTTTGGTTGTCTACATTCATCGTATGAAAGACCTCATGAACGATCGAGAATGAACAGGTAACCTAAAATTAGTGAACTCTATTTTATTTTTGAATACACAACAAAACAATATTTCTACAGGGTGTATCAAAAAGACAAGACCTTTAGAAATTGACTTATGATGATTTCAAAGCCCATCATTAGCACAAAAGCTTTTCTGATTCTGTGAATTCCACAAAACCACTGACAACAAAAATGCAAGTACGTAATGCACCAGTGGGATTGAAATTTAACAACAGGCCGATTTCTTAAGGTTTTTATACACCCTGTGTACACCATGTGCATCTGTATTTGCTCCCAATTTTTTTCCCAACTTTTTTATGAAGTTTAACAAGTAATGTGCTTGTGAAAAGTTAATTGTCTGTTTGAAGTAGTTACACCGAATTTTGGCTGACAAACATGATTTAAACAGCAAATTATTAAAGTGTTGCGCATTTTTGCTAAGTGCATGATGTTGTTTTTTTTCTAGTGGAGCGACTGGCTACAATTATGACTACCAGGATTCTAGCAGAAGTAAGTTCAAAAAAGGAAGGGAGAAAGATTCTCAAAATCGTCCAAAACAACGAGATGTCAAACGGGATGAAACGGATCAGGAACGAACCAAAATTGAACGTCATGTAAGAAAGAACTTTGGGAATTCGCAAGGAAATCTTTTGGATGACAATCGTTTGGGGCCTGGGGATAACTTAGATGATAAATTATCAAAGGACGGGAAGAACTCTGGCAAAATGACCAAAGGAAAAGTTGGGAATTCAAAAAAGAGGGGTAAATTAGCTTCTAGTGATGTGAAAGAGAATAATCATGTTGATAAACCTTCTAGTCGTAATAACAGGAATAACTTTATGGAAAATTCCTCGGAAGCTCATGCTGATAAACTTTCTAGTCGTAACAACAGGAATAACTTCATGGAAAATTCCTCGGAAGTTCATGTTGATAAACTTTCTAGTCGTAATAACAGGAATAACTTCATAAAAAATTCGTCGGAAGCTCATAATCATGACAATTTGAAAATGAACGATGTCGAATCTACGTTCTCTAAGGATTCTTTTTCATCTGGAGCCTGTAGCAATGATGAGATACGCGAACGTTCCAAAGAAATTCATTCTTCTAAGGTCAAAAATTTTCCACAAAATGTCGAAGATCTGCCATGCTCGTTAACTCGTGAAAATGAAAAAGAACTTCCAGTTTATAATACTGATTTTCCTTCGTTATCAAATTCCACTTCCACTTCCACGAGTTTTTTAGGTAGTAAAGATCTACATGTACTGGATGGTTCACAAAGACTTAGTAACCCACCTGGACTCGGTGACCCACGGGGGTCAAATGGACCATCTATGCGTTGCAAACCACCTGGACTCGGTCCTCCCGGACTTGGACCTTTTGAAGTAAATGATCCCTCTACCGGACCACGTGGCTCTGATATACCCACTTCACTTGGCATGCCACCTGGAGTGAACATGCCTCCCGGATTTAATGGATCACCTAGTTTTTCTGTGCCCCGTGATTATCCTACAAATTATGAGAAAGATATCCAGACTAAACTCAACTCTAAAGGAGATTTGTCAAGTGTTGTTCACGATGTCAATAAGTCTTATGTCAAAGGCAAAAAGCCAATAGACGATCTATCCATTAAAACTAAAACCTCAGCTAAAAAGTCAAAAACTGATCGTATTACCAATACGGTAAATCCGACATATGATAGCGATTTTCCTTCACTTTCTGGTTTGACAAACGCCCCAAAATCGTCGGTTGGAGCTCCTGTTCGTCCACCCCCTGGAATGGGATGGTCCGTTCCTCTTAGTATAGCTAGCAATGGTTGTGAGAAGATGAGCCGGACTCAAGTTTTAGTCAAAGAAATTCGTCGTATTTTGAATCTAAGAAATGAGAGTTTTGATCAATTTAAGGATTTTAACCAACGCTATCGACAGGGGAAAATGAATGCTGAAGATTACTTTGAACAATGTTCTAAAATGCTTGGTGAAGATAATATTTGTAAAATTTTTGGAGAATTGATTAGTTCGTTGCCCGACGAAGAGAAAAAGACTAAGCTGTTGCAGGTTTATAATGATGCAAAAGTAAAAGCGAAATCAAAAATGGTTTAAGAGGGAAAATTGTTGATAATTTTAAAAGTCCGTCGAACGATCTGATGACGTCTGCCTCCCATGCCCAGGCCTCCAATGTCCAGGCCGTGATACAAGAGGATTTTCCATCCCTTCCCAAAGCAAATGGGATTAAAAATAAACCGATTGCATATACATCTAATGTATGGTCACGAAAGGCAGCTGGCTCGTGAGTCTTACAACGCCATTTTGATATACCTCATTCGTTCCCAAGCTTTTTCTAGTGTCTACCAAAATAGTCATGAGAACGAGACTGGAGCTTGTTCTTCATTGGGACGAATTTGAACGATGTTCACACAAATTAATTTTCATCGAGGAAAATTCTTCGTCTAACAGAGTTTAAATGTATGAATGTGTAATTTAACGAGTGTAGTTCAAGATTTGACGTGGTTTTGACATTGTTGAAATTTATAGACCGAATTGTGGTGCTGTCAACCTCGAAGTAATGGAAAGTCTCTCGATAGTGGGAAACTGAATAAATAGAATAATTAACGAGTGAAATAATTAAAGGTCTCGCTATAAAACTTGGTTGTCTTTTATGATTCGATATCAATGAGCTTACCTAAGGTTAAGAGGGCTATTTATGAATTTTTATTTCGGTTATGATATGATTTTACAAATAGGCAAATACCTTACTCTAACCCTAAATCTTATTGTACAAGCTTATGGCCGAGATATCGATTGCTGATTGGGTTAGGGATCGATTTAGCGTAGGTATAGAACACCGGATTACCATCATTTTTAATCAAGCCTCAAAAACAGGCTTATGCAGCAATGAATTTGACCCACATTCGACTAAAATTAAACAAATTTATCATTCAAAATGTGAATTGAAAATTTGAAATAGCCTATGGAAATAATTACATGGAAGACAATTCCTCACCATTGGTATGACCATTGGTATGACCATGGATCGCTCATTACAAATAAATTTGAAGCGAAAAGGCCGCCGTATTGAACAGTCCCACTTCACGAGATTGACATACAAAGTACATTAATTTCTGCTATGCGAGAATCGTCACTTATGGTGCTCTGACTAAACTGCTACATTTTAGCTTTTACAAGATTAAGTGTAGGAAGCATTTGTACTAATAAGAAAAGATTTATTCCAAAATTTTCGTGACATCATTTGAGAGATACTATCGCAAGAGAATACTTCTAGCTTCACGTTGAAAGATATTTTAGGGTGTCTTAGTAAATGCGCTGCAAAATTCATTGCTATCGTGGTTCTTTACTACAGATTATTATTAAGAATGGGACTGTTCATTTCACGGCGCATCTCGATGATGGTGTGGAAAGCACACATTCAATTTTAAATTTTCACGGAGCAACTTGATGATGGTGTGGAAAGCATACATTCAATTTTAAATTTCCACGGAGCAACTCGATGATGGTGTGGAAAGCATACATTCAATTGTACTCTGTTCTAACAGTTCCTATCATCTTTATCCAATTATCTATCTAAAAATTATTTCCGTTATTTGAAATAACCAAATTAAATCATGTCAACAAAAATTGGTTATTTGGTCAAGTTTATTATTTGATATAATTACGTTACATCAACTGACGAAATTTTGTAATATGATAAAATAACTAATGCGAAATATCTTTGTCAGTAAGTTAAATAATAAAAACACATTCGGCGCTTCATACATTACTTGAAAAGAAATTACTTTATGGCTAGGAGTATATGTCTAAATTTTAAGAACAGTTGGATGGAGTACTTGGTATATTATTAAATATGTTAACAAATCAAATCATCGACTACCGCTAATTGTTGTCGTCTCATCTTCAATTTAAAACTGCTTTCTCCTTTGACTGTTAGTATCGTTTCGTATTGTATCGGCAAGTATGCCCTGTGTAAACATAGGTACGCAATGCGTACTCTACCTTTGTGTCTACCTTTAGGTCTACCTTTATGTCTACTTTTCTGCCCTACCTTTATGTCTATCTTTATGACTATCCCCAAGTCTACTTTTTTGTCGCTCAGATCATTCAGTAACTGGACTACAACACGATGTAGCTACCTGGCGAGGTGAAGGTAATCTAGAAGGAATTTTAAGATTGCCCGATTGATAGGGGAAATGCTCGAGAAACATTTTTGGCGAGCCATTTTTTATATACATGGGAGTAGGAAGATCGATAAGAAGGGGGCTACTATTCAAGGGATTACTATTCAGATATATATGTATATGTATGTGTGAATATATGTGAATACGAGGCCCTCTATAGGTCTTCCTTCGCCCTTATATACGCACACGACATTTTAAATTTTTCCAAAACATTATTATTCTTTAGTTAAAGCAAAGTTTTTGCACACATTAGATAATTCTATGTATTCTGTTATACTAATTTTTACAACTTGGATTTTTGATTACCTTACCTGGTTTGATGATACAGTTCTTTAGCTAATGCACGTCATAATTTAGGTGCAACATTATCGCGCTTGAATTTTCTTTGTGGAAGTCATCTTCAGAGTCTACTTTTATTTAATTTTTTGTTTCATAAATGGTCGAATGGGATGGTAGACAGTAAAAAAATCTGTAGCTATCATTAAGCTTGAGAGGTGAAGTGATCCAACACATCGCCTTATAACTTTACGATTCACGATTCGATTCCGGCTAAGGTCAGTAACAGCAGAAGCTGCTATCTATGCTATTGTGCAAACGTAACCTGCTTAAATAAAAATTTTAAACTTTTAAATAATCATCGATTGTTCTTGGCTTTACTTTTTTGGTTTTTATTGACAAATTTCTTTGGGCTCTTCTTCTTTGTTCATTATTTAATTTTTTCACGCATTTTCACTTCAAAAACTCTATGCAGTTCATGACTTTTTACGTCATAGAATTATCAAGGACTCAGTTAAAACATAAAGTACATTTACCATGCTAACAATGTTCAATTCACTTGAACAGAAAAGAAGATCGAAAACTTGTTTTTTCATAATTTATTATAGGTCTCGGTGTCACTTAGTGCAGTACATAGAGATGACAAAGTTTGGAACATTGGTTTAGGAACTTTAGATAAATCGACATATCCATTAAAGATTCGAGATGAACATAGTTTGTACAGTACAGGAAGTCTTGTCAAAATTTTAACAGTAAGCAGTACGAAATTAAATATTTCGAAATGAAAAACCTGTTGCTACCTATTCATGCGGTAGTTATTTTTTTAAAGGTTTTCTCCAAATGAAAAGTTGATTTGTATGTTATCTTGCATAATAAGAATAATAAACAGAACATACACTGTCATTACTTTATCTAAAATATAGTTAAACAATGGCAGACAATGTAATATAATGATAAGACTTTGAAATGTATTTCATTTGATGTTTGATTTTTGTTGTTTTTAGCATATTGTATTCAGGGAAAACACCACATTTAATGCACTCTTGATTCGTCCGGACAGTGGTTATACTGTGGATCATCCCGATAGGTGCTAGGAACACGATGGGTATGGACCTATAGCACTGTACAAGTCAGACTGAGGAAGGTATGTACTTTGTATGTATAATGTAAGTTATCAAAATAAAATAAAATCTTTGCATTTAAGCCACCAGAAGGAAAACCGTGCTCTATTTGACAGGGAAACTATTAATGCATGATGTGTAATTTTGTTGTTTTGCAAAAGACTACATGGATACTCAAAATAATGAATTTACGAGATCAATCATGGAATATAATTTTTTTCATTTAAAATCTATAAATCTTCTGCGCTAAAAAGAGACTTATATCATTATTCTAGACTAGAGTATTATCTCCTTTTAGAATTGGTGGCATTGGATAGCAGCGCTTTAGACATGCCTGGGGTGGTGAAGACTGGGACCTAGTAGACAAAATCTTGTCAGAAGGCCAAGAAATCGAATGCTTGGAGGTGCTTAACTTTTTCATTTTATCACACAAAAAAAGGGAATATGGAAAGATTCGGAACAATAGTTGCAATGAAAATTTATTGTCGCATCGAGATTCAAAATTCTTTGAAAGAGACAACATATAATACAGGCTGATAGTTGAATAAAAACATAAAACAATGCATTGTAATAATATTTTTCTATCCAATTCATTCCTTTGAGTTTTTAGTTTTAAATTTATGTGTGCGAAAGGAGCTGGTCATTTGCCATTGAAGACCTTTGTATAATTTTAATGTCTGTCACTGTGCTAAGCCCACAGGTGCATAAAATATTGTTAGCTTTGTAGATGCAAGCACAAAAGCTTTTCTCGATTAGAAATGTAATGCACGTTTGGAGATTAGCACAGTGATTGGGCTTCAAAATTTTATAATAGTTTAATTGCCAAAACTCGTTTTATGTACACTCTGTAGAAAGCTAATTAAAGAAATCAGATGTTAATTTTAGCTAATAACTACAATAAGAAAATGAGAAGCTATTAACAATCTAGATCGTTCATCAAATCTTTTTGACATCAGTCGACATTTAGAATTTTCATGATCAGCTGTAGTTGTTCACCAAGAAAGCTTAAATGTTTGGAGTTTGCTATTTTCTGTAGCTGACATATACGTATTTACTTATATCTGTGTTTATATTGTATTCAATTGCATTTACCGCTCTGAGGGGATTAATTACTTCTAAGTGATGAATTATGCCAATTTTAAATCTCGGCTGATTTCAAAGACATCAGTTTTTTGAGATAGGCACAATGTACAATTGACAACACACCTAGTAAATGACCAATCAGAACACAACACGTTTACGCCACACCTAGTCACTGTCCAATCAGAACCCAACACATTCGTGAAACGTAGGCCATAGTTTAAGGCAAAACCTAAGAACGTGCCATTTGAACGTGAAAGTCGGTAGATGTATGACGAATAGTTAGCAGAAGTCGAAATTATTCCTTGGTGAAATATCTCCTGAAGTGCTCTGAAAAAATGTTCAGGTAAATGTGTTGTTTCATGTTCTTTTGCACTGAGTCTGAATTAAATTGGGACGCTGTATGGGATGTTTATCTATGCAGAATGCGGTGTGGCCTTTCCATAAAGTTTTCGTCTTAGTAACTTTAGTTTCTTCTATGCTTTATTTTAGACATGAACATTCTCTTAAACGACATGTAGTCATCAAATGAGATTGAAAAACAGCAAACAAATGTTGGTGTATTTACCATGATGGTGGACTCTACAATTAAAGAAAATGGTTCTTGTTCACAGCGATTGAAGAGAATTGTGGCTGTTGTTGACCATTTCCTCGACGCTGGTCTAAACATAAGAACTAAATACAATTCTGTAATTTGGTCGAAATTCTTCTTCCCTTGAACTACATTACGAGTGAATAAAATGTTTAATGTAAGTATGTTATCATGTTTTTTATTTATGAAAGTATAGCGTGAACTGTCATTAATTGGATTCAATTATCCTATGTAGAAACCTTTAATGAAATCCTCTGAGCAATGATCAAGTTAGAACAATGATCAAGTTAAAACAATGATCAAGAATGATGAAGTCCTTTGAACAATGATCAAGAATGAACAATATACTTTCATGAGTCCTCTGAATAATGATCAAGTTAAAA